AGGGGGGTTGTTTGTTTTTGTGTGTTTTTTTATTATTATTTTTTTGTCTTTCACGTCTTCATGTGTTGACTTTTCTCTAATTGGCTCAATTATAGATTAAATTGTTACATTACTTTCTTATTTTTTCATGTTTTCTTTGTTTTTAGCTGTTGGTGATAATGATTCTTGAAAAGTGATTTCCACAAGGACTGTGTGTAAATTAACATGATTTTTATTTTCTTCAAATACTTGAAAATGAACCATATTTGGTTTCTCAAAAGCTGTCTTCAATGATTTCCATCGTCTGAGCGAGTGAGTAAATCTTTTTTCACATGATGCGTTTAATTTGTGTTCAGGTTAATCTGTCAGCAAACTAACTGACTGCTCTTTCTTGCAGAGGGGGAAAAGGACAAGAAAAGGAGGAAAAACAACAAAGAGGAGTTTGATGATGAAATACCCAAGAAAAAGAAGAAAAAGGGAGCCCAGGCTGAGTGAGTTAATTGTTTGGGTTTTTTTTCATCATCGACGGATAATTTTACAATTGTTGTTTGTGCAAGGTTTGCTCCTTCTTTGTTATCAAACGTCTGTCGTCCTTATCTCACCTCTTTCTTTCCTATCAAACATATATCGTCCTTATCTCACCTCTTTCTTTCCTGTCAAACATATATCGTCCTTATCTCACCTCTTTCTTTCCTATCAAACATATATCGTCCTTATCTCACCTCTTTCTTTCCTATCAAACATATATTGTCCTTATCTCACCTCTTTCTTTCCTATCAAACATATATTGTCTTTATCTCACCTCTTTCTTTCCTATCAAACATATATTGTCTTTATCTCACCTCTTTCTTTCCTATCAAACATATATATATTGTCTTTATCTCACCTCTTTCTTTCCTATCAAACATATATATATATTGTCTTTATCTCACCTCTTCTTTTTCCTATCAAACATATATATAGTCTTTATCTCACCTCTTTCTTTCCTATCAAACATATATTGTCTTTATCTCACCTCTTTCTTTTCCTATCAAACATATATTGTCTTTATCTCACCTCTTTCTTTCCTATCAAACATATATTGTCTTTATCTCACCTCTTTTTTTCCTATCAAACATATATATTGTCTTTATCTCACCTCTTTCTTTCCTATCAAACATATATATTGTCTTTATCTCACCTCTTTCTTTCCTATCAAACATATATTGTCTTTATCTCACCTCTTTCTTTCCTATCAAACATATATATATTGTCTTTATCTCACCTCTTCTTTTTCCTATCAAACATATATATTGTCTTTATCTCACCTCTTTCTTTCCTATCAAACATATATTGTCTTTATCTCACCTCTTTTTTTCCTATCAAACATATATATTGTCTTTATCTCACCTCTTTCTTTCCTATCAAACATATATATTGTCTTTATCTCACCTCTTTCTTTCCTATCAAACATATATTGTCTTTATCTCACCTCTTTCTTTCCTATCAAACATATATTGTCTTTATCTCACCTCTTTTTTTCCTATCAAACATATATATTGTCTTTATCTCACCTCTTTCTTTCCTATCAAACATATATATTGTCTTTATCTCACCTCTTTCTTTCCTATCAAACATATATTGTCTTTATCTCACCTCTTTCTTTCCTATCAAACATATAGCGTCTTTCTCTCCTCCCTCTTTCCCATCAAACTTCTATCAGCCTTCCTCTTTTCCTATCAAACATCTATTGTCCTTATCTCTCCTCCTTTTCTTTGTATGTTACTCTCTCTAGTAACACCTCTTGTCTTCAGCTCTTATATGACCTATTTGTGTTGCAAATGATCTAAAACTCTTTCCAAAACTAAACTGTTGTTGTTGTTGTCCAACATCAGACAATCTAAACTGTTGTAGTGGGTGGTTGGCGGGTGCTCTGGTGTGGTTTGCTCCTTCTTTCCTCTTAAACATCTATCGTCCTTATCTCTCCTCCTTCTTTTTTACGTTTGTTGTTACTCTCTTGTAACACCTCTAATCATCGGCACTTATATGACCTTATTGTGTTGCAAGTGCCGTAAAACTCTTGACTAAAAAAAAACAACTGTTGTTCTTCCTGATTGTTTGTAAGGGAGAAAAGTTCCTTCTCTCTCCTTGTGCACTTATTGGTTTATTGGTTTACAATTTTACCTTAGCTGAGTACCTTTTCCACAAACTTGGCAATCATCTTTACCTTTTTGTTCTGTATTATCCTGTACCTTTGCTCCAGTCTGATTACTTTTCTCACAGTGAGGCGCTGATTTGACCGTATGCAGTTGTGAGCGCCGTAAAACACTTACAAAAAAAGAGTGTGCAACTTCTTTGAGTCAGCTTCTCCTTTTATCCCAGAGGTTTTTTTATAGTTTCATGAAGTCAATAAAGCTGAGGAAGTTTTATTAATATACCATCTATATTGTCCAAGACTAGCCCAGCCACCCATAGTCAGGGAGAAAAGTGGTTGTCTTGGCTGTCCCCATGGTTTTATGCACCCCGCATAATTTAGCAAAATTTGATACCATTTGGCATAATTTCTGATTGTTTTCCTTTCTCGTTCTTTGTTAAAATTAATAGAATCGCATAATTTCACATTTGTGGGCTCAGTTTGCATAATTTCGTTAAAAAATTTTGTGCATAAAACCGCAGGGACAGCCTTAGACAGGTGATCACGACTCACTGCGAAACTAAAATCCACATGTGTGAAATTGTTTTTTGGTTTGGTTCTTACAGTTTTTTCTTTCTTTCTCCCTTTCTCAGGGAAGAGATTGAGATCGGCACCATCAGTCCTTTCCCGCTGTCGACCCATCCCTCGGACGTTTTGGACATGCCCGTTGATCCCAACGAGCCGACGTACTGCTTGTGTAATCAGGTGTCGTACGGGGAGATGATTGGCTGTGATAACCTGGATGTAAGTCGTCAAACGTTGCATAGTTTGTTTGTGGTGGGCTCATTATACCTTAAAGTCAAACGTTTTTGGCCTCTCTTCTCTTCATTGCATTCCCTCGCTGGATTTCAGGGTAGGTGGTTCTTCAACCTGCTAGATCTCAGGGGTCGTCGACTGTTGGTTTTTCAACTTGCTAGGTCTCAGGGGTCGTCGACTGTTGGTTTTTCAACTTGCTAGGTCTCAGGGGTCGTCGACTGTTGGTTTTTCAACTTGCTAGGTCTCAGGGGTCGTCGACTGTTGGTTCTTCAACTCGCGAGATCTCAGGGGTACTCTAATGCCGGTTCTTTAACCTATCAGATCTCAGGGGTAGTCGACTGCTGGTTCTTCAACCCGCAGTGCAACCAATTTTTATGCATGTGACCGTTTTCCTACTTCGTAAAGCCCCTTTGCATCAAGCAGTCACATTCTGATATGAAGGTACTCTATGTGTTTTTATACTGACTAGAGTATTTTCAGTTTTGGTAGAAATTTAGAATTTTTCCCAGGTGCGGGTCAAAGCCTACTTTTGACTAGAGTATTTTCAGTTTTGGTAGAAATTTAGAATTTTTCCCAGGTGCGGGTCAAAGCCTACTTTTGACTAGAGTATTTTCAGTTTTGGTAGAAATTTAGAATTTTTCCCAGGTGTGGGCCAAAGCCTACTTTTATCAGTTTTAGGAGGAGAACCCAATTCCTCTTGTGTTCCAGAAGCTGCATTTGTTTCTTCCTACTTGTTTTTATAAGTGAGCATCCCATGTGTTGTTCACGTCATTATTTCTCTCATGTTGAGTTATTTCTTTTGTCTGTCTCAGTGCCCCATTGAGTTATTTCTTTTGTCTGTCTCAGTGCCCCATTGAGTTATTTCTCTTGTCTGCCTCAGTGCCCCATTGAGTTATTTCTCTTGTCTGTCTCAGTGCCCCATTGAGTTATTTCTTTTGTCTGTCTCAGTGCCCCATTGAGTTATTTCTTTTGTCTGTCTCAGTGCCCCATTGAGTTATTTCTCTTGTCTGCCTCAGTGCCCCATTGAGTTATTTCTCTTGTCTGTCTCAGTGCCCCATTGAGTTATTTCTATCATCTGTCTCAGTGCCCCATTGAGTTATTTCTTGTCAGTTTCAATGCCCCATTGAGTTATTTCTTGTCAGTTTCAATGCCCCATTGTGTCTTGATGGTTGACGGATGCTCTGGTGTGCTTTGCTCCTTCTTTCCTATAAAAAGAATCTATAAATAATCCTTATCTCTCCACCTCCTTTTTTTGTGTTTGTTATTCACTTCTGATACCTCTAAATCTTTGGCACTTGTGTGACCTAATTGTGTTGCAAGTGGGGTAAAATACTTACCAAAGGACACTGAGTAATTTTTAATTTTTAAATAATTTATTTTGTCCCTTCCCCATTTCTATGATGTTGACGCCATCTGATAAGTAGAAAAATGTGCATATGATAG